GCGACAACGGCACATCTGTGATACTCGTGAGCTACTCTATCCCACCTACGGAATAGATTCTTCAATACCACCTCATCGGGGTTATTGCTTTAGTCACAGTTACAGGAGCTGGGTAATGCTTATTAGTGCAAGTCATTTCGTGAACAGGGAACACTGCGAGCCTGGAACGAATAGGATATCTTTGTAGAATTAGAAACTTTGTAATTTATCGGTTTGACCTCTGCAAACTTTTGGAGATGATTACTCGTGAAACTCGTCATATGTAAGGCTCCTCAACCACACGAGTTTTCTGTCCCAGCGTTAACCTGTCTCTATTTTTTTTTATTACCAGATTAGTCCCCCGTCAACCGCCGGGACCTTCCTTTAATGCGCAAGCTTTCTATCCTCCGCTATGGTCCCTTCCTCCTGTGACACCAACACCTCCTGGAAGTGACGCGTATGCAACACAATGGTGTTTCATACAGTAGAAGGGACACAATCATGATATGACGGTAGATTTTTCGCTTCCCTTCCTCATCCTCCCTTCCTCTCTCCACTGCCCTCCAGCTGCCACTGCAGCACCATGTGGAATGAACGGAAGTGTGCTAAGCAGGTGTTTATATAGCCCTAAGAGTGTTATCACAACTATCCTGCTACAAAACATTGATATCTCAAATCCTGTAAGCTACCCGATTTGTTAGCGGTTTGTTTATCCCATGAGCTTCCTTCTCACTCACTTCATTTTCAATTTCTCTTTCTTTTATATTTTTTTTTTGTACACTGTTGTATATATTTTCCCCGTACATTAGGCCCTCTCTTTCTGGTCAGCTCACCTCAGCTGCGGCTACGCTACATCTCTTTATAGATCTTGTTGCCCATCTTTACGTTTGAATTAATCAGGCGCCCTTCTCACTCACTTTCATTTGCGACGGACACACATCACACATACAGATACACAAACCGACACACAAAGTTAGCGCTTTATATAATAGAAGGATTTGCTCTGCGTCCAAAGGCGCGCTATAGGCAGGCGATGATGGAACTAGCGAGGCTGCGACAATATTAAGTCGGGTTAGACAAAAAGAAACAAGAACCAACAGAAAAATTGAATAAACAAAACACAATTAAAGCATATATGGAACAATCCAATCGCGGAATCGGCTAGCTAGGGGCGGCAGGAAGAGAAAAAGTGAGAAAAATCGAAAAAAGTGAGGAAAAGTCTTTCCCACCTTCAAAAAAAAAATCCTTCTGCGGTCTAGCATTACACTTTTGTCTTTAATATAGAAACGAGCATGCCGATTTTGGAATTTTTCACGATAATTGTTTCATTGCCTATCTATTCAAACTGATCGTTTGTTCTCATCAACTTAGTGTTCGCTTTTTTTTCATCAAAAAATTTTTCATCTCAAAATTTTTCCATGCTGTGACATCTGCTATACGAAGTTATTACGAAAGAGAATTGTCTGCTCTACAAAATCCTATGTTCCACTTCCACCTATGCTTTTAGGTTTTCAAATTTCAGGCCTGCGAAATGGGAGGTCCAGCCGACAAAAATTGACCAAACCGACAACTATCTCTAACTTTATCTTCCCTTGGGAAGAATCAATCAATGATGTACCCTCTACTTACACATGACCTCTTCTAAACATTACACTATTAGGTTTCCCAACAAGTCGCGTCGTTCCATTTCCAGACCTGGTTTTTCAACCAGAACTCGACGGTCGAGCACCATTACCTGAGATCTAGGTCGAAATTTTTTTATAGCCGAGACATTGAAAAACTAGTAGAATTTCAAGAACAAGTCATGACTAAGTTAGGAATGTACGCCTGGTTGATTTTCTCATCTCTCAAGGATAATTTTTTCAAATAGATCTGTCCGCCTCCAGACCAAAGGAGCTGAACCTTATGGCCGAATCAGGTGAAGCGATGTAATAGATACGTCATAGCAACTGCTACTGGAAAATTTATTTCTTTCGCTTCTTCTGAATTAAAGCGCAAATATTGGGTGAACACTTTCCATGCCTCTCTGTTGAGCCCACGCCGCAGATCTCTCTCTCTCTTCTCTTTCTCTCTCTCTCTCTCTCTCTGTAAGAAGGCTGTATTAGGTTTCCCTTCCTACGACCTGTCACTTCACCAAAACGTTTCTCATACCTCCTCAACTGAAGCTTTAGAAAAGATTTTTTGCAGGCCTTCATCCGTCGTAACGAATCTGGTCTTGGACTTGGATCAGGATTCAACCGTCTTGATCGCTACGGACGACAAGGGGAGTGCATTACTGACAACGCACTACGGCCTCTTTGCCACTGCATAGGGACAACCACACCATGAAACACGTCTAAAAATAAAAATTCACTTTGAGTTGGGAATTTCCGTTCTTATGGCAAAAACATGCTTTCCTAGCATACTTGTGTGCCTTCGTCATGAGATTTAGAGGACAAACCATAGAGTTCTTTTCCGAATTCGGAGGTTCTCGAAAAACTTTGCATATTTTCTCTCTTGAAATAAAATTTAATTCTAGAATGTTGCGATGAACGAGAAATGAAGTTTCTTTGAAGTGCAATACAACTGTTTGGACTGACACTAAAGCATGTTTCACGATGAAAATGAGAAATCTCCGGTCGCAGTAGAATGGTGTGAAGGTATGTGTTCACCAATGAATGCTGGAAGATGCGCCAAACTTGCTAGCTCGAGCCCCCGTCCATGTCTATGTTAATGTTTCATTAGACAGCATTTTGCAGACGGGAACTCGTACCCAAGGCCCTCGAAAGGGGAGGGTGGTCCGTAAAAAATCAAAAAGTACCCAACTTTTAGGGCGGACCCTGCTTGCTCGAGAGATTTGAAAATTTGCTAACAAAGCATATGTCCCAACCAAGTCATGTCGTTTGTGTGGAGGAAAATCTGCATAAAAAGTTCAATGCACTGTATCTCGCCGCTGAACTGAACCTTGCGAAATTCAAAAAAAACTGTTCGAATGCGCAAACCTTTCTCTATAAAGCCGCTCAACTGGGTACGTTTGTTGGAATGCTGGAGCTGTTGAGGCGATGAACTGAGGGAAGGTCGTTTTAGCATCATGTTGGGTTTTGATGTATTTCTCTTCAAGGAAGCTATCGAGATCGTCAGAAGTTTGACAGTAGATAGTTCAAAGGTCTACTAAGTAAGATGTTCGCAGAACCACTCTGAAGTTCAGCTGGTACAACTTGTGAAGGGTTGGCCGTGCGATGTGCGTTCAAGACACCTTTCAGGGATGTGTGTGTTCCTTTATAATGAGGAATGCTGGACCCATGCCTTAGAGTTTTTGATGATTTTTTGACTTAATATAAAGATTGATTCTCCACTGTAACAGTTCCACTGATACTGAAGAACATGGCCAGCCGCTGACCCCATGAAAGCTGCCACAACCCTCCTCCAGCACAGTTTAAATTCTGCAAAGTTTGTAGAGCTTCATCGCCGTCGATCTATTCAGCAAACTTTCGTAGACTATAGAGAAGAATCCGCTCTTTATTGTACGTCGCAAATCTGTAGAGAAACGAGTCGCTTTTTCACATAAAACAAGCGACAATTTGATGGACGACCCTTCAAATTGGTGATTTGTCGCGGCACGCCCCTATCAAATTTTTTGGACTTTCCAGCTTCTTCCGTATAGCTTGGCTGTACAAACCATATACGCCCACGTTGGGCAGAACCTCCTCTATGGTCTTACGCACAAGTGCTTCAATCAGAACTTTTGGCTAATCGGAGACACCGTCCGATGTCCGACCACTACTCTCATCATATTCAAGGCTCTCGCCTTCGTTTACAATAAATTTTTTAACTACTGCTTCTGAGCACATTTATTGCAAATCTAGGCCCAAAGCATCGTTAATATCTTGAACTGTTCCCGCCACTTTCAGGTCTATTTAAAGCTAGAAAAAGAAAGTCATGCCAACTTGCTCATCGAGTATACCGCATTCAAAGCTTTGAAAAGCTATAAGAAAATGTTTTAGGACAAAGTTGAGCTAAGCATTGGATAGAGCAGGAAAAGCTCTTCAAAATGATATCCATACCAATTGCAGTTTTTCTAGATTTCAAGGAAATAAAGCATCCAAAAGTGGAGTGTCAGAAAACGACAGAACTTTTTGAAACGCCTAATACATATCATCGAATTACCAGGCTAAACTAGTACCGGAGCTGTGTACTTGTGCACACCGCGCTGCTCTGCCCACATCTCACCACTAGACATAGAGAGACACTATCAGAATTAGCGACACTTATCCAAGCTGTTCTCTACTTGGGGAGCAGATAAGAAGTGTCATTTCAATATTCAGCAACAAGACGGACCTTGTACAGTGGCATACCACTTGGCATGGGCACGGTCCGAGTATAAAATTGCCGGATCGTTTTGTGGCCAGGCCAATCAATACCTTATACATTTCAGCCCATCCAGAGTTGACTGATTGGTGCTAGTTTGTCTGGGAGGACAAAAGCACTAGCTTGAACGGCTGACCTACCAAGTTACTGCATAGGCCAATTCGCATTCAAACGCCACTGTGTTTCTGAATGAGCGTTGAGTGCATGGCTCATACCAGAAAAGACTAATCAGTACCGGGTTCAGTCCTGGTAACAAAACCCGAACACTACCCAGAAAAGGGTCAAACCTTCTAGTGCGGTTGTACAATTAGGCCAGGGGTTGAATTCCGGAAGTACTTGGCCATATTCACCTTGTATTGCGCTACGCGCCGTGTACCGTGCACAGTAACGCCTTTTGCTCTCATGCTTTCGTAGCGCCGCCGCACTCCTGGACGACACCTCACCGCGCGCGACATCCGGCCGCGCTACGTGGTCCTGTCCCAGCCCTCATCTGAACCCCTACCTACAGTTTATCCAAATATCGACGCATTCTCGTAGGTTTTAGCCGAGACGTGTTGTTGTGATTTCTTTGCGCATTATCCGCAACGACCATTATCCATTTCACAAGAAGCGGTGCCCGTCTTTTCATCGAATTTCTCCTCTTTTCCACTCCACTCCCGTAACTTTCCGATACC